AGTTTTAAAAAATGTCTACCTTGTCCGTTTTACTGATTTTCTGCTTCATTGCATTTCTGCTTTGTTTGCTTTTCTGTTTTTAGCCTTCTGTCTTCTTTTCTTGGTTTGATATTCTCTCTGATCTAATGCTATTCAGCTTTCCTACTTTTCTAACATACCTGCCTACTTTTACTATTTATTAACATATACTCTGTTATTTTCATCAGTGATTTAGTTGTACTCATATCTTCTTTTCCAAAAATTTGAATAAGTGTATGATGTGGTCAATCAATCATTTGGATTCGGTCAATTTGTATATTAAAGATATTGAAAATGGCAGTTTCGATGATTTTTTAACAAATCATAACTTTAAATCGTTATTTTCAATATATATATTAAGACGTTATTTATATTGAAAATTACGATTTAAAGTTGTAAGAAAAAAATCTTTATAGAAAAAATGAACACGGCAATTAAAATCGAGTAATTTGTATAAACTATTTTTTTAAGATTTAAAAATGAAATACTTAAACCACTCTTTAACAAAAATCAAATAAATTGGATAGTTGGTTCAATGGTTCCATTAGTCCAATTCGTTTAATTCGTCAATTGGTTCAATTGATCGATTGGATAAATTTGTCAATTGATTCCATAAGTCAGTTGGTTAAATTGGTCAATTGGTTCATTTGGTAAATGACTAAAAATAATTGATCAATTGGTTTAAATGGTCAATTCGTTCAATTGGTTATGTGGGTTAATTGTTTCAATTGGTCAATTGGATACATTGGTTCCATTGGCTCATTTTGTCAATTGGTTCCATTGGTCAATTGGTTCAATTGGCAAATTGGATCATTTGGTAAATTACTTAAAATAATTGGTCAATTGGTTCAATTGGTCAATTGGTTCAATTGGTCAATTGGTTCAATTGGTCAATTGGTTCAATATGTCAATTGGTTCAATTGATCAATTGGTTCAATTGGTCAATTGGTTCAATTGGTCAATTGGTTCAATTGGTCAATTGGTTCAATTGGAAATTTGGTGCAATTCCCAAATAACAATTATGGTTACATGAGGGTTTTGTAGACCATAATTTAAACTTATAGAGTGCTTTAAAACCTCGATTAAACTTGCATTGTTGCTTGGGTTGGTCAATTGGTTCAATTGGTCAATTGGTTCAATTGGTCAATTGGTTCAATTGGTCAATTGGTTCAATTGGTCAATTGGTTAAATTGGTCAATTGGTTCAATTATTCAATTGATACAATTGGTGATGTAGTAATACTAACCTCAACAAATTACCCTTTTGAATAATTCCTTATCCCTTACTACGGACCATGCATCACATGGGAAGTATAATTCCATTACACATCATAAATTAAATACTCACTCAGCTTGACATAGAAACAATTACCCAAATTCTTAACCTACTGAGAAAACACTGAGTCAGCACCAAAACCTTTTCCTTTTCCTTATTTTGAGACCATTTAAGTGCTACCATATGTACACAATAAATTCCGTGCGTATGTACGCCAAATAGTTTACAAAACAGCCTAACGTGTCGTTTCCCTCCATGCTAGTTTACATTTGAAGAACCCGGTAAAATAAACTCACATTCTACTTTCAACTGTCTAAGACTATAGTGGATAAATCCGAAAGTCCGATCTTGCCACAGTGAATTGGTTCAATTGGTAAATTGGTTCAATTGGTCAATTGGTTCAATTGGTAAATTGGTTCAATTTGTCAATTGGTTCAATTGGTCAATTGATTCAATTGGTCAGTTGGTTCAATTTTTCAATTGGTTCAATTGGTCAATTGGTTCAATTGGTCAATTGGTGCAATTGGTCAATTGGTTCAATTGGTCAATTGGTTCAATTGGTCAATTGGTTCAATTGGTCAATTGGTTCAATTGGTCAATTGGTTCAATTGGTCAATTGGTTCAATTGGTCAATTGGTTCAATTGGTCAATTGGTTCAATTGGTCAATTGGTTCAATTGGTCAATTGGTTCAATTGGTCAATTGGTTCAATTGGTCAATTGGTTCAATTGGTCTATTGGTTCAATTGGTCAATTGGTTCAATTGGTCAATTGGTTCAATTGGTCAATTGGTTCAATTATTCAATTGGTACAATTGGTGAATTGGTTCAATTGGTAAATTGGTTCAATTTGTCAATTGGTTCAATTGGTCAATTGGTTTAATTGGTCAATTGGTTCAATTCGTCAATTGGTTCAATTAGTCAATTGGTTCAATTGGCAATTTGGTGCAATTCTCAAATAACAATTATGGTTATATGAGGGTTCTGTAGACCATAATTTAAACTTATAGAGTGCTTTAAAACCTCGATAAAACTTGCAATGTTGCTTGGGTTGGTCAATTGGTTCAATTGGTCAATTGGTTCAATTGGTCAATTGGTACAATAGGTCACTTGGTTCAATTGGTCAATTGGTTCAATTGGTCAATTGGTTCAATTGGTCAATTGGTTCAATTGGTCAATTGGTTCAATTGGTCAATTGGTTCAATTGGTCAATTGGTTCAATTGGTCAATTGGTTCAATCGGTCAATTGGTTCAATTGGTCAATTGGTTCAATTGGTCAATTGGTTCAATTGGTCAATTGGTTCAATTGGTCAATTGGTTCAATTGGTCAACTGGTTCAATTGGTCAATTGGTTCAATTGGTCAATAAGTTCAATTGGTCAATTGGTTCAATTGGTCAATTGGTTCAATTGGTCAATAAGTTCAATTGGTCAATTGGTTCAATTGGTCTATTGGTTCAATTGGTCAATTGGTTCAATTGGTCAATTGGTTCAATTGGTTATATTGGACTAATTGGTAAATTTGTTCAATTGGTCTTTTGATTCAATTGTAACGGTTCAATTTTTGAATTGGTTCAATTATTCAAATTTTAAGAATTTTATTGATCAATTTGAATAATTGGTATATTGATTTAATTGGATAATTGGTGCAATTGTGCAATTGGTTCAATTGTCAATTGTTTGAATTTGGTAATTTGGTTTATTTGTTCAATTGGTTCAATTGGTTAAGTTGGTCAATTGGTCAATTGGTTCAATTGGTCAATTGGTTCAATTGGTCAATTGGTCAATTGGTTGTATTGGTCAATTGGTTCAATTGGTCAAATGGTTCAAATGGTCAATTGGTTCAATTGGTCAATTGGCTCAATTGGTCAATTGGTTCAATTGGTCAATTGGTTCAATTGGTAAATTGGTTCAATTGGTCAATTGGTTCAATTGGTCAATTAGTTCAATTGGCTCAATTGGTAAATTTGTTCAATTGGTCAATTGATTCAATTGGTCAATTGGTTCCATTGTTCCATTGCTTCTACTGGTTAATTGTTTATATTGGATTGATTGGTCAATTTTTTCAATTAGTTTTTTGATTCAATTGTTACAGTTCTTCAGTTTTTCAATTAGTTCATTTGATCAGATCTTAAGAATTTTATTGATCAATTTAATTTAATTGGATAATTGGTGCAATTGGTCAATTGATTTAATTGGATGATTGGTGCAATTGTTCAATTGGTTCAATTGTCAATTGTTTTAATTTGGTAATTTGGCTTATTTGTTCAATTGGTTCAATTGGTTTAGTTGGTCAATTGGTTCAATTGGTTCAATAGTTCAATTGGTTCAATAGGTCAATTGTTTCAATAGGTCAATTGGTTCATTAGTTGAATTGCTATAATTAGTCAATTGTTTGAAATGGTCAATTGGTTTAATTGGTGTAATTTGGTTGTTTGGTTGAACTGGTCAGTTGGTTTGATTGGTTCAATTCATTGGAATTTGAAAATTGAAAATTAATTTGAATTCGATTGTTCAATTTATTGAATTGTTTAATTCTTTCAATTTGATAGTTTGTCTAATTGTTCAATTGGTTTAAATTGGTTCAATTGATTAAATTAATCAATTTTTTAATAGGACAATTAGTTCATTTGGACAGTTGAATCAATTGGAGAATTGGTTCAATTGTTAAATTGGTTCAATTTGATTTTTAGTTTCGTTGGTTCAATTGGTTTGAATTTGTCAACAGGTTCAATTATTCCATTGGTCCAATTGGCCAACTAGTTCAATTGGTTCACATCGTCAATTGGTTTAATTTGCCATTTGGTTCAATTTGTTGAATTGGTTATTTAGTTTAATTGATTCATTTGGTTCAATTTGCCAATTGGTTCAATTCGTCAGTTCGTTTAAATGGTTAATTGGTTCAGTTGGTTTGATCAGTAGTTGGTGTCAATTTGTTAAATTTTTCAATTGGTTCAATTTTATAAATTGTTCAAAATTTCAACTGGTTCATTTGATCAATTGATCATATGATTCAAATGTTCAATTTGTTCAAATATGATTCATATAGTCAATTGGTTCAATTGTTTCATTGGACAATTAGTTCAATTGGACAATTGGATCAATTAAACAATTGGTTCAACTGTAAAATTTGTTCATTTGGTCAGGTCGTAAATTTTTCATTGGTAAATTTTCAGTCGATAGGTCAACTTTCAGTCGCTCTCTTTATAATTTTCAATCAATTGTTCAATTTTTCAGCATGCACGTCCGCTACATGGCAGTCCACAGCGATTATCCGTTACACTACTACCTTCTGGAAGAGTTTGTAGCCAAAAGCTTCGTCCAAATTGTCATGCAGAAAGGGCTTCCCCTAAGGGATCACATGAACAAGAAAATCCTGTAGGCATCTCTTTCTCAATTGCAATCAAAATTACTAAACCCATTCTATGTTCAAATTTTCCAAACAGCGCCATGATTGAAGCAGGGTACGAAACGGCCGTCCAGGGAGTCTTCATCGCTCAAACCGGAAACGTCAATAAAAGGAATCATGATGAGCAACCTTCCGTCAGTGCCCTTAAACTGGACCACTACCAAGGGGCATTCTTCATACTGGCCACTGGCTGTGGCTTATCGCTACTGGCTTTGATAGTTGAAATGGTAGAACACAAGTTCAAACATCGTCCAAAACCCGAACCAATAAAACCATTTATCAACTAAGAACACGCACACTTACCTCTACACATCATGAATCGGCCCGTGACACTCCCGGACATCGAAGTCCTTCGCCCGGACGTAGCAACAGGGTGGCACCGGGTCGGTGGCAGTCCGCTCGATCTCGATCTGCACGTAGTCTACACCGGCTATTCCCGTTGCCGCCGACGACGACGACGACTCCACCTCCACCGCGGACAACGGAGCTAGATCGTGCGGATTCTCGATCAAGTGTTGCCTCAACAGCTGCAGCTCCCGCTGGTATTCCGCACAGCAGGCACAGATCGACACTGGAGGTGGCGTCGTTGACACCAGGATCGGTGATCCTCTCAGACTTATGATCTCTTCCAGGCCACCGCAGTCGGCCACCAGTTCCTCTTGGCTGGCGGTCGGATTGTGAAACCGGTGGTTCCCCACCGCAACGTCACTGGCACTGAGCAGCGAACCGACACTGTACCGCCGGAAGCGGACCGTTTCTCCCGTGCAGGTCGTCGTCGTTCCGCAGGTTGCGGTCAACTGGCTCGAGCTGGTGGCACCTTTGTTGGGGCCACGGATTGAACTGAGGGCCGGCGGCGGCAGGTAGTACACCAAACACGTCACGCCAACCAAAAAGAGGAAAAAGATAAACACTATGTCGAACATGAGTAGCGAGTTCAGCGTCATCAACTGCATAGCTTAGGACACACTGTCGGAGGTTTGGTGGGACCGCCACCGTTGCCGCAAAGGGCCAGTCACGCTCGTAGACAAACTGCGGTTCACAGTTGCGGACGGGCTGCTGCTGTTGATCTAGGATCGGAGCGTAGATCACCACGTGGATTAGCCGCGGTCATCGTAGAGTTCATAACGGCTGTGCGCCGGGCAACAACAACGGTAACGATAACAACGCGCGAACGAACACTCACGGCTTGCTATCTGAACACATTCTATCAATATGGGTTTCGGTTTTGTTTGCGTTTTATTTGTCACAAATGTTAACTAGATTACGAGTGTGGTTAGAATCTGTCGGGAGGGAGAGAGAGAGAGAAAGAGATGGGAAAAAAGCGATTGCATTATGGTTAGATTTTCCCCTTCAAGTGGAGGAAGAGGTTCATCGTGTTCGCTGAGTGGATTATTGCGGAATCGAATGTAAATTGTTTCGCGTTCTCGTTTGTCGGTCGGATTCAGGTGGATCGAAGCACGTAGCTCAAATATTTAATAAAGAGAGAGAGAGAGAGAGTGAGATATGAATTTTCCGATGGATCAGTCGTTCGGTTCTAGTTTGATGAAAAACCGGGGAGGGAGCCACTGATTATTATTGCAAACTGCAAACTCTTGCTTTTGGCGGGTGGGTTGAACCGGGGGCGGCCGGGTGAGGATTTTGTTCGGTTCCGTCGTTGAATTAATGTGATGGATCGACTGGGAAGCTGTTAACTGATTGCAGCTTGTTTACTCTCCTACAAACATTGACATTGATGTATTGTGAAGAGGGGAGGAGTGAAGGTAATTTGGCAGCGTGTTTTCAGCGGCAAAGTGGAAAGCGGAAGTTGATATTTGTGTTGTGGAAATTATGCAAAGTGAAAATGGATTATACGGGGAACTGGACGATCCCGGGTGATTCATGGGAAGGGGTAGTAATTGGTTGTTTCATGGATTTGAGTTTTTAAACGTCAGAGACATTAACTTGATGGGTTTACATAGCAACAGAAACATTTAACCGAAATTCTAGGCCTACTTATTTTTAATGGATTTCTTTTGGCAGGCCTTTGAAGTTTGCTGGAATTATTTTCTATGATTTAATCAAGTGGATCTGTGGACTTGCTGTTGATATTTCTTGACGTGCCTTGAACTGTAGTAACATAATTTCTTGAAAGTTCTTGGTCAAACTCTTGGAGATATCTTAGCTGCTTCTAGAAGTCATTTCTTGCCCTTAAAGTTCTCTTGCTTACTCCTTCCTTCATCTTTAATGGAGATACCATTAAAGTAGCATGGAGTAGATTAAAAAAATACGTGCGGTGACTTTATTCTGAATATCCTATGAGGACCTACAACTTGCTTTTATACTTTAAAGACCATTGTAAGTATCTAACAAGTTATTTTAAGTTGATCCTTTGCATTTGCTTCAAATCCTTTCGGGATAGCTTAGCTTAAAGTAAGGTAAGTACTTTCTTCAGCAAACATCAGGATAATTATAAAGGTGAGTCAAGATATCAACCAGGATCAATCGTTTCCAAATTAGGTCCGGATCATTCCCCTAAAATTTTAGTACATTTACTAGCAAACTAATACTGCACTAGCCCTTTTAAATTTATGTGGGAATTGATATGGGTAAAGTGAACTTCGTTCTTGTCGTTTTAGCCTTGCGCCATAATGGTTTACGACTAAGCTTGTAATATGTACTAATGTGAAATTTTCGCAGCTACGACTTTGCTCCAGATTACTTTTTGATTGGTCGTCAGAAAAATGAGTTATTAATTGATTTCAAAGTCGATACCTTTCTGATATGATTCATCGACTGGTTTCAGGGCAATACTGGATTTAATCGCCCAATTTTTCGCTCCGAGTATACCAATGTTGCCTGCTGAGCTGTTAAAAGAATATCTTCTTCTTAGTTAGTTAATAACTCATTATACCGATGTTCAATTTAAATGAGGTCTGTATTAAAAATGTAGCTGGGAAAATTTCATATTAAGCATACCCGTAAATTATTATAGTTAGAGGCTTACTTTTATTAGGCTTTAATTATTATAAAGGGCGAACACGAAATTATTGCGACACATTCAACAGGGCATAACTTTTTTTTACCATTGGGTAAAAATCAACCAAATTTTGCACACTTTCTCATTGATGTGTATTGTGTACATGCTGTCAAACTCGAAGTCGTGTTTTTCGATTCAACGAAAATGGAGGTGAACCAACGCGAGTTGAGAGAACAAATTCTTTCCAAACACCTGGAATTTCCTGACCTGTCGCACCGGCAGTTGGGAAAAATGTTGAACATTCACCATTCAACCGTCTCCAGAGTGTTGAAGCGGTTCCAGGAGCGGTTGACGTTGGACCACGGCAAAGGAGCTGGAAGAAAACCGGGACCGGAGAACAAAAAGACGGAGGGAAAGGTGAAGGGGATGATTAAAGCAAATCCCAACGTCTCAAGCCGTGATTTGGCTAAAAAGATCGGCATGTCGCAGAGCTACGTCCAGAATGCAAAGAAGAGAGCTGGACTACATACATACAAGGTACAGAACTTCCCAAACCGCGATGAGCGGCAACAATCGACGGCTAAAACTCGGGCACGGAAGCTCTACGAGAAGATGCTGACAAAATATGGCTGCTGTGTGATGGACGACGAAACGTATATAATAGCCGATTTTAAGCAAATTCCGGGGTTGGAGTTTTTTACCGGCAAGAGCAAGTTCGATGTGGACGACAAATTTAAGAAGAAGAAAATGTCGAAGTTCGCCTCCAAATATCTCATTTGGCAGGCCATCTGCTCTTGCGGACTGAGGAGTGAGCCTTTCGTGACAAAGGGCACAGTAAATGGCGAGATCTACAAATCTGAGTGCCTCGAGAAGCGCCTTTTGCCGTTCTTGCAGCAGCACGACGAAGCTCCGCTATTTTGGCCAGATTTGGCATCATGCCACTATTCTAAAAGTGTCCTGGAGTGGTATGAGGCCAATTCTGTCCATTTTGTTCCAAAGGACATGAATCCGCCAAACTGTCCGGAGCTGCGCCCGGTGGAGCAGTACTGGGCAATAATGAAGCGGGAACTTCTGAAGAGCAAGAAGACAGTCAAAGACGAGAAGGACATGTTAAGAACATGGAAAAAAACTGAGAAACTGGTACCGGATGACACTGTAAAGACTTTGATGGAGGGCATCAAGCGAAAATGCGTTCAATTTTACACTCAACTTTTCTTTTGATTTTTGAAGTAAATATATGTACTACCCTAAAATTTTGGTTTGATTCTAAACATTATAAGAAAATTGGCATGCCATTTTCGGTGTCGCAATAATTTCGTGTTCGCCCTTTAGTTCGAGCAAACTTTTACACTTTTTCCATATGTCTACAGTAAATCCCATATAAAGCTCTAATTTAGGAAGAATTATCATGAACTGATTTGAAATCAATTGAGCCTGGTGGAGCAAAAACGATATTTTGAACCACCCTAATAAAGGGTGATACGGTCAAAATTTGGTCAAGGGAAAACGCGTGTAAATCGGTGAAATCGTTTATTTAAAAAATCAAATTAAATTTCTTTTTCAAGTTCAATTAGTATAAAATTCAGGAAAAATATTCAGTTAGGCTTCCGCTTTTCCAAATCCGAATTGCCGGGCTTTACGCTTGACCCCTGCCATCAAATTTTGTACAGCCACCTTGTCCACCTTCTTCGCCGCAGAAAGCCAGTTTGCCTTGAACTGCTGCTCGCCCTTAGCAGTTTTTTTGGTCTTCTTTAGGTTCCACTTGACAATAGCCCAGTATTTCTCAATTGGGCGGAGCTCTGGCGTGTTGGGAGGGTTCTTGTCCTTGGGAACCACCTGCACGTTGTTGGCGGCGTACCTATCCATGGCCTTTTTACCGTAATGGCAAGATGCCAAATCCGGCCAAAACAGTACGGAACAACCGTGTTTCTTCAGGAAAGGCAGCAGACGTTTATTCAAACACTCTTTCACGTAAATTTCTTGGTTAACAGTCCCGGAAGCTATGAAAATGCTGCTTTTCAAGCCACAGGTACAGATGGCTTGCCAAACCAGATATTTCTTTGCGAACTTTGACAGTTTCATGTGCTTGAAAACATCTGCTACCTTTCCCCTTCCTTTTGCCGTATAAAACTCCTGTCCCGGAAGCTGCTTGTAGTCGGCTTTGACGTAGGTTTCGTCGTCCATTACCACGCAGTCAAACTTCGTCAGCATCGTCGTGTACAGCCTCCGGGATCGCGCTTTGGCCGTCGTATTTTGTTTATCATCGCGATTTGGAGTCACTACCTTCTTGTAAGTCGATAGTCCGGCTCGTTTTTTGGCTCGATGCACGGTTGTAGACGATACACCCAGCTTATTTGCGGCATCTCGGAGAGAGAGGTTAGGGTTTCGCTTGAAACTACCGGCAACTCTCTTTGTCGTCTCAGCGGCTTCCACTTT